GGCATCAACAGGAGCACCAACCATATCAGCTGGACATACTACCCCAAAGCCCTTTGGTAGCCATCAGGATCCATTAGACTCCGAGGGAAGATCTTTCTAATTGATCCACTGCCCTTGCAACGGGGGAAAGGAGGCGACAGCTAAATTTAACCAGGTAGTGGTCCGACCATGCCAAAGGGATTGATGTTAGTCCCTCCTCATCAGAATCCCCATCCCCCTGTCCCATTGAAAAGACCAGGTCCAGAGTGAGTCGGGCTAATAACATGCTGAGACAGTCCCATGGTTGTCATGGCGGATCATGAGGTCCTCAGCTGCCCCGGATAAAGCAGCCTCGGCATGGAGGTTATAATCCCCCAGGACCAACATCCTGGATGTTCTCTCAACCAGGCCCGAGACCACCTCTGCTAGCTGAGGCAGGGAGACTGATAAAGCAGGTGGTGTGCCAGCAGGCAGGCAGCAGCAATGTGTCATCAGTTCCTTGTTTTATTCACTTTGAATGTGGACATATTTTATTAGCTCAGTTAATTACATTAATGAGTTATTACTTTCATGAATTGCATCAAGCATTTGATTCCCTGAATATCTGTTCTTGAAGATGTGTCATCATATTCTTCTGCCCAAGCAGCCCCATGTACAATATGTTGCAGTACTCCCCAAAGTATAGGCTACCAAACTTTGGATAACTGTAGCTAGATTGCTTCTATCCAGATAGAGTCATAGTTGATCAGAGTAAGCTGTAAAAGGTTTTCACTTGAAGCCATCTGTGCCTACAGTGTCAATGCTGGATCCAAAAGCAGCCCCAAACTATGATCCCGATCCTTTTGCCTAGCAATGTAAAAATTGGTTCAATTGTAGCAATTTGACTACTTTGGAAGTACTTCTGTATAGGGAAATAGTAGGCAAACCATGGGTAGATTGTAAGGTTTAAACAACTAAAACAGTTTTCCTTTAACATGGAGAACCATCCATGCAGCAATCCGGTCATGTTTAAAGCAGTATGTTATTTATTCTGTTATTTATATTAGAAGGCATCTCTTTGGGTAGTCCTGAGATCCTGATACTGGAACTTTCAACAGTCTCCTACAGCTCCAAAGCCAGCTATTTTCAAACCTGAATCCCAAACCTTTTGACTGCACAGTCAAACTTTTGATTTTTATAGACTTTTGCATATTCATATGAGTGACTGAGATGACTGATGCCTCCACGACAAACTGCTTCTCCAAAGATTTTCCATTTCCTTTTGACAGCTAAAAGGCTAGTACTACAACGTTGGAATGATAAATGGTCACTTGCAATAACACAATGGGTAGAGTATTTGATGAAATTTTCAACTTTTGAATGGGGAGAGGGGTTATACACAATTTACAAATGGTCAACTATATGCATATTTGGACAATCTTTGCTGAAGCTTATGCATAATTATCTCTAATAATAGTAGTAAATCTTGCTACATATATGGGTATATAGCAGGGGTGGCATATGACTCTGAGTTTATTTGTGGCTTGCCGCCTGCCCATGGGCGCCCACTTGTTGCTCTCAAACATTTCATATTTACCAATATGTGGCTATTCTGTTGCGTGAGTCTGGTCACCCCGGTATATAGTATATATGTATTTGTTCTAATAGTTCTTCTACAGTTTCTTGTAAGAAATTGCAATATTTTATTTATTATTTATTTTTAACCTTTTTGTTCCAGTTAGGGTTTTGATTTCAAGTTGCACAATGAAATAAATGAAAAAAACTAATTTTCCAAAGACTAAATAGTAACCTTTAGGATTATGAGACTTCCAAGACTAGTGATCATATATTTATCTACAGGAATGCCAGTGTGCTGTGCCTGCTGATGTTCTACTACTTTAGTACAGGCATTGGCTATAAGTAATATATGAGAGATGGCTTTCCATTCATTTAAGCTACTTTCTGAACTTCATTTGCTGTTTACTGTTGCACAACCATTGGTATTATAAGCTCTGCCAGGGAAATATAAATCAGCACAGCATGCAGTCCACTGGTATAAAAGTTCAGAACTGAAATATTTTGTTCAAAACTGAAAAGTGTATTTCTTCTGAAGTTTCCAAAATCATATAAAATGCCCTTCTAAAACTCATTTGTTTCTGTGTCTAGTGACTATGTGGCTATCAAAGATGGCATGTTATAGTCAGGAATAGAATACTGACAATTCACTTTTTAGTGCAAAACAACTACAACAACAATACATGCAGCCTGGGGAAGCTTATAAAGAAATATCAATTCATATTTAACTGTTTTAAATAGCTGGAACTTTGAGATTTTACTTGATGTTTTACTGTGATACTGATGGTGTGAGTGGCATTGATACTTAGTTTTGCAGTTTCTAGTTTCTGAGGAATTCTCTAATCAGTTTATGCATACAAACAAGCACTGATCCAGCAGGACCTTTCACTGATCGACACAATAAAAGTTAAAATTGTGATAAGTATTTACAGAACAATTTATAACTTTATTGATATAGGATATGGGTGTGTCTCAAGAAAATATAAGTGAAAAGAAAAGGGATGACATTGTTTGGGATGGGTGAACCTGTCAGTTTTGCTTTCTTTCATTCTATCTTTTAAACTCTCAAGGCATTTCTATCTTGTTTACGAAGAAAATAATGATTTTTGGTAAATTCTTATTAGAAACAAGCAAGCAAACAAAAAAATCCCAAAATGGACCAAACATAATGTTCACTCATCTGCATTGGTCTTTTGTAATGTCCAGACTAAGTTATTATATATCATTGACTGAAATCCAAACAAAAATGCAGAAATACATTAAGAACTATATGGGAAGTTTAATGAAAGTGGTGTTGTAGTTAGAATCGTTCATTGCCACTATACTCTGTCTTTTATATTCTTCTGTGTATATTCTTCTGACTTTGGTGTGCAATTAGAGCAGCTAGATATTTTAGTGGATTTAGAGAGGCCATCTTCAGTCATTTGACATAATTTCTATGTCTTAGAGCTTCAAAGACTTAGAATGCGAATAACATAATTATTACTGATCAAGGAAGCAATTTGACCATCTTCCATGCACTGCTTATTAGCCTGTGCATAATTTTAAATACGAATCATGGCTCTAGTAACTATCTCCATTGTAAAACCGGGTCTCTTCAAGATAAGTCTTGCTGGTACTATGGAGTTGGTATTTGAAGTATGTCCATCTGCATCTAAACGAGTAGCTCCAAGACAATCAGATTATGTAGCAGTTACTTTGGTGAGAATATCGCGTAAGTGGAATGGAAACTTCATTTTGAGTCTAATCTTAGACCTTGCTTTGGAAAATTCCTTCTAAATGATCACAAGCTGGGAATAGCAAAAGAATTTAGCTTTCGACAGACAGCATTCACAAAGAATTTGTTTTTAACTGCTTATGTAGGTCCCTGGGAAAGCAGATGTGAAGCTTACCAAGCTGAATTAGTTTGACCTGTAGTGTTTATGTCCGTTGTTAATAAGGTCCCCTCCCTGCTCTAATTTTTCCAAGATATCTTCATTCTTTGAGCATGAGTGAGTTTGGATAGGATAGTCTGAATGCTTATTAAGTTAGTAGATCTCAGATTCTTCCACCAATTTTTTATTGTCCACAGAAGAGATTAAGCAAGAATTAATCAATCAAACTATTTAGGTTGTTTTCCATATATCTGGAATGTGGATCTAATCTGGGTACTAATCTTACAGCTAGATTATGTAAAAAGAAATTACCACTGAGATGTATATGTGTATAGAACTGAGCACAAGTCTGAAATTGATAAGACTGATGTGCAGATGCCTTGCTCTGTCTATAAACTCTGCAATGTGATAAACTACACTTTGGTCATTTGGTTAAATTATTTCTTTGTGAATTGTCTGACACTAGAATCAGTGCAATTTGCTGAATAATAAACATGCAATGGATCAATATTTGCGATAAAAATAGATCATATTTGACACATTGAGATTTATGAAAACACTACCATTCTCTATCATTGAAAGATTCCAGTGAAGTATCCTTTGAAATAAATTCAACCAGATATACCTGAAAATGGTATTTATAATATTGAACCATTATGATACTTGACAACATGCTGCCTATTATCCACCATGAGGTAAAATGTTATTGTGCTTTTCTAGAGTTCCTCATCTGGTTAAGTTCATCTATTTGCAGAACAATAATATAACATACTATATCTAATATTTTCTAATGAGGAGTGTCAGAATATATGACAACTGTAATTGAAAGAAATAATAAACCTACTGCAATGAAGTTTATATCAGATCATATTGTGTATTCCAAAACTGTAGTAAAACACTTCCAGAATATTCAATTATGGCAGTGGGTCAAACTGTTCTGTTATACTACAGAGGGTACGCACATGAAAGGGATGATGTAAATTTCTTTAAAGCAGGGTGCTGATGAATCTCTTTCAGCTCAAGGGCCAGATTCGGTTTCAGAGAAGCTCTCAGGGACTGCATTCCAGTCAGGGTAGATTGAAAGGGAAAAGAGGGAGGGGCAGAATACCAAAGATGCCAGCTATTTTAGCTTTGAGTTCATACTGCTTGTAACTAAGCCTTAGGAGAGACATTTCAGTCTTTAAAATGAAAACAATATGAATCAAATGATCAGCAGTTGGGAAAGGAGGGATGGGACAGGGGAAGGGAATGTATCTATCTCAGGAACTTTAGTTGGCCAGGGAGGGACCCCAAGCAGAGAAGATTTGGTCCAGTGTCTCTGCTTTATAGAGGCACCGTTTGTGGTTTTGAAAGAGTAGAAATACCACTGGTTCCTTGTGGCTGCAGGATCCACAACAAAAATGTTCCACCTGAAAACAGCTTTAGGCTGTCTCTAACAATGTTAATGTTTCAGATAGGTTTCCTCTTCCTCAAATTGACAATACGCACGTAACTATCTGCTGTTCCATTTCAGGACCCATCTGTGTAATTTGAGAGTGGCTGGCCACTAATTCTGCTATAATTTCTAATTTCTTGGTCTACTACTCTGTGCAGGTAAATCTCACTTGGCAATAGTGCAGCGGGTGAACAATGAAGGGGAAGGGGATCCTTTTTATGAAGTCTTGGGCATTGTTACCTTGGAAGATGTAATTGAAGAGATCATCAAGTCTGAGATTCTAGATGAAACAGATCTGTACAGTGAGTATTAATCTCCATGGTCTTTCAGAACAGTACGGAGTCTCTCCTCTAATAAAGTAATCTATCTTGTTTTGTTGTTGTTTTTTCTGAGATAAATTAAAAAGTATGAAGTAAGATTCAAACTCTAGCTCAATTAAAAACACTTATTCATCCCAGTGTCATAACATAAAAACCATCATTGGTCCTACCATTAAGCAGGGTAAGGCTGCTGGTGACATATACCTGAGGAGGGTATAGAATTCTGTTTACCATATGGGTTGCCTTGTGTTCTCCAAGCAGGTTTTCAGCCCCTCAGGTATGGTGGAAGTCACTGTCCCATTGCCAGTATAGAAGTAAGATCCAGTTGTGTGTCTTCTCAGCCTTTGTACATGGAATGTTTGGGGATGAGGACTCCCATCATCTTGGGCTGGTCCTAAGGAAGTCTTTTCATTTCATATTTCCATTTAAAGTGCCAGTAGATTTTATTTCTGGGTGACATCCTTTGGAGTGAATAGTTCTTCATCCCTATATTTTTTACCATGGCTTCCAAACTACTTTTGGCTAGGGACAATTGTTTGAGAACTGAGTTGACTGAACTGATTTCTAAAAATTGTATGTATTAAAATAAAACCCAGTCACCTGTGATCAAGAAGGCTTTGCAGGTTTTTGAAACAACTGAAAATCCTGATTACTAGAGGAAAAGTGGGGTACTATAGGCACCCTAGCAGCCACCCTTCTCCTATTTGCTAACCCCTACCCTTGTTAACTGTCCCCAGCAATAGAGAGAAGAGAGATACATAAACACAGAGAGAGACAAGATTAGTAACAGCCACAGAAAATTCCAAGAGCAAAAGAGGGCAGCTGCACAATAGCTATAGTTCCCAACATATTTCAAGGAAACTGGTTATTAAGAGAAATGTCTGTAAAAACAAAAGCAAGTTATAAAAATAGAAACAATGAAACATCCAATGCAGCTGCCTGTAACCCTCTAAATTCAGGCATCCAATCATGGGTGGGAAAAATACAGAGGCAAGGATTGCCTCCACACTTCTTCCACCCTGCAAAAGACAAAGATGGTCAATTTCCACTGTCTATGTTTGCTCTTGCAAGGAGGAGGGGCTAAGGCACCACTGGAATTCCTACTTCTCCCTTCCCCCCAGAATATTCCCTCACTGCCAGCACCAAAGTCACACTTGTGACTTTAGAGCTGCAGCTAGCACAGAAAGAAGTATGCTGGCTGCAAGGATGGAGGGAGGTTGTTCTGTGGTCAGAGACTCAGCTCCAACCTCCATTTTTCCAAGATTGGAGCTAGGATCCCAATCTATCTTAGACTGTCTAGACAGCATTTAGTGGCCATTTTTAGTATTACTCTTGTTGTGGTTGTTGTTGTCATTCTTTTATTGCAGTTATAGCCAACCTTTTCCCCTTTTGGGAGGAACCCAAGGTGGCTTACATAGCTCCATTTTATCCTCACAACAACCCTGTGGGGTAGTTTGGTCTGAGAAGTCTGCGAGTGGCCCAGAGTCTCCCAGTGAGCTTCCTGCCTGAGAAGGGACTAGAACCTGAATCTCCCAGATCCTAGTCCAGCACTCTAACCACCACAACAGCTCTCATAAGACCATTGGCCATAAGACTGCATCCTTAGTAGTTAGGATACCACATAGGAAAACTTGCTTAATGCTTCTTGATAGAAACTTCTGGTGACCTTTCTACTTAAAGCTCACTGAAGCAGATTAACATTTATTCTGCCCAGTTTAATGTATACCAGGATATTCCCTAAATCAAATCTGTCTTTTCATTACATTTTAAGAGGGAAACTTTCAGCTTCAACTCATTAAATGGTTTGCCTAATTTTAAATCACCTGTCTAAATAACATTAGGGTTAGGGCTCATCTCACCTCATTTGAGAAGGAATGGCAAAATTGGAGTGCTACCCCAAAAAGACCCTGTCTCGCCTTCCAACCAATGGTTTGTTGATGAGATATATAATGGGACTTCCAAGGAAGTTTCATATAGGAGGAGGCAATCTTTCACTTACTTAGGGATGTATAAATAAACAGCAGCACCTTGAATTGTGCTCAAAAACAAATCAGAAACCCAGTTTAGTATCTGTAACTTTGTAGTCAAAAGAGTGTAATTTTGTATTTTTTATAAACCTTTCATGTCACAGAGTCTCCCAAAAACAAGGCATCTTCTTCCAGATTCCTCATAGTAATTTCAGTCTTTTGCCCATCCTGCTTGATTGGAAGGCTAGAAGAGGAAGAAGCTTGTTTTGTAGGGCTTATCCCTACTACCATAAATTTAAAAAGGAAGAAAGATGGAGGGGTTGAGGCTAAGAAATCACTAAGTTTATTCTACTAGTGCGCTATATGACGGCTGTTCCCAAATTGGGTTCTGCGGAGCCCTAGGGTTGTGCAAAGGCCTTATAGGGGTTCCATGAAAAATCTCAAAAATTAATTTTAAAATGGATTTTAAAACAAAACCTCACAAGGCCAACTACTTGATTGTCAGTTGACGTCCAAGCAGCGGACAAGGAAATGCATCACATCATTTTCATAGGTTTGTAGGACTCTATTGCATAGTGTTGGGAATAAGTGAAATATGGTAAAGTAATTACCATATAATTACTTTATTCATTTGTTATATTGAAAATGTTTTCTCTTTATTTCCAAACCTACTACATTATGCAAAGCACTCAGGCAATAGGAGCAGATGAAAGAAAAAATGTTGTGGGTTCAAAATGCTTAGTAAAAATCAGGGATAGAGTTAAGATTCCACAGGGGGGGAAAATGTCTTCAGAAAGGTTCTATGACCGAAAAAGTTTGCGAACTGCGGCTATATAAATTACTGGAATGCTATCAATTGAAGTGGGGTGATGCAGACATTTGTTAAAGGGAACAGGAGTGTCAAATTGAACTGCACTGTGATGGTGGTGTATATAACAAATATAATTCCAATGTGTACTGTGTTAAAAAACTGTAGCCTTTCTGTGAAATTTTATGGGTGTCCACTTTTTAACATATTGTTTAATATTATTTAATGGGGAATGTAACTATTTTATAGCTGTTTTGATTTGAAAACATCAGCCTATCACAGCTTCATTAATTTTTAGATTCTTACCATTTTTATATGTAATCACCACCTTTTCAAAACAGCCTCAATTGTCCACTTACCATTCTATTGCTGGACACATCTTAAGACCTTGAACTGCTATTATATAAGCCTCTACTTTTTTACAATTGTTATAATATCTTGTACAAGGCAACAGAACCAGTTCTGCTTCACCTGCTGCATAAAATCCATTGAACCTACCATAATTCACCAGCTTTCTGCACAACTACCGAAAACAACTGTACAACATAGATGCACAGTTACAAGATGAATGAGTCCATGGCCAGTTATTGTCTAGTTTAAAGATGTTACAGAATCTGAAGATTGCTTCCTGTCCATCAGCTGTTTTCATCAAAACTGACTGTGTAGTTCTTGTGCATTAGGTAGGGATACTTCCTCAATGCTGATATAGCAGTGCTGATAGCATCTAGTACAAGGTCAAGGTGCCCTCTTGTGCTGACACTGGGAGCCTTTTGCCTGATGTTTATGCTTTCGGTGCAATATGAAAACAGGGTCATAAGTTCATTCATTCTGTAACTTGTACTAAAAAAGCAGAGGTTATTCAGGGAGTAAAAGATAAATACCACCACAATTTCATTATCAGTTGAATGGATCTTGCATGGATGCATGAATTTCTACACATAACTTGTAGACTATCTTTTGTGTGCTGTTCCTGTTCCTAAATAGCATCTCCTACTGTTCATGTTGGGCCCTAATCTAATGATTATTTTATTTTTCCACCTCCAGCTGATAACAAGACCAAAAAGAAAGTAGCCCATCGGGAAAGAAAGCAGGACTTCTCTGCCTTCAAACAGACAGATAGCGAAATGAAGGTTAAAATCTCGCCACAATTGCTCTTGGCAATGCATCGTTTCCTAGCAACAGGCAAGTGTGGCTTATCATAGTTTGATCACTTCAGGGTCCAACAGCTGGCTTGCTAGTAGAATCTGGTGAGGTGGTGTGTGAGGCAGAGCAATCTGTCAGGGAGGCTGGGTAAGAGAGTGTTATACCATGCCATTGTTGTATACTCTCCTGCCCCCTTTAAATTCTGCCCTATGTTTCATATAGGCACAAACTCTAAGACATTAATGAGAGGTTATTAGTAACTAAGTTTATAATTGTTTGGGAACATCAGGATAAGTAGAAGTCCACACTGCATGCATAGATTCCATCAGACCAAGACCAAACTGCATGTTACATGGAGGTCCGTGCAACATTCCCTAGATTCTTTTAATGAGAAACAGTTGCTGGAGGCCTCAAGCAGAAGTGAAGCAGTATGGAAATTGGTTGTTTCTTCTCTTAAAATTACCCTCAACGTTTCTTCTTCTTCCTCATCGTTGTTGTCGCTGTCATCTCCTCTCCTTCCCTCCCTCTGTGCGTGCGTGTGCGCTTGTGTGTTTCCTTTGTGGGAGGAAAAACAGTTTAGATAGTAGTTTGGATGGAGAAATGACCAGCAAGTAATGACTTTCTTTTCTGTGTCTGACTTTCCTCCACTTCTGATTGCAGCTTCCAGTGACTGCTCTTCTTTAAATGAAATGACTGAAGGAAAGTAATACAACTCCATGTAAAATAATTTGGTCCTAACTTTGAACAAACAGATTCTCAAAAGAAATAACTCAGGAATAAAATGGTTGACTTGTGTAGATAATTACCATTCATGCAAAGAACTGCTAGATTCAAGAAAGGGAATGCAGCTTCATATTTGCAAGCTATGCATTGAACTAAAGGTGCAAATACAAAATGAAATTTCTGATTAGAAGATAACTTTTTTGAATGAGTATTATAGTAGCCTATGAGACAGAAAGTGGAATGCCTTCTGGATGGGAAGACATCTGCTGTGATTGTCTGTATACTCAGTGACTACTTGGGCAGCCTTACCAATGAGCCTGGGGATAAAAGAACTATTGACCAGGTTTACATAATTGCTATACTCCCATTATAGGAAACTGCCTTGATGTATGCTACCAAAGACCAGTGAATAGACAAACCTGAGTTACATATCTGTCATATTTTAATTTGGCAATTATGCTCTAAGGGCCTTCCAATTGCTAAATAATTTGAAGAACACTTGTCACAAAAATGAAGTGGGGTTAACAGAGAAAAAATATAAGATATTGTTCATGAACTCATGCAGTCTGCACAAACACTCTTTGTAATTTTAGGGCTTTTATTCCTGCATAGAGAGAGATGTCTTAGACATAACATGCTAATTGGGCTCTGAAACTGTTTAAGTTTAATTATATTTAAGTATTTAAAAATCTAGAATCACGTGTGTAACTTTTTTTTTTTTTTTTTTTTTTTTTGGTGCTTTGTGTTGGTTCATTAGCTGTGGCCCATGGTAACAGTATTTAAGTTTTATGCTTGTGGAAGAATGTGCCAGATGAGGAAACTTGAAAAATTGTAGAATATGTTCCATGTCAATTACACAATACTCCCCTAAGTATTTGAAAATGGTCTCTCGTTCTGGGGTAGAGTCACTATTTTGGGCAGGCTCACTGGCACTTATTTGTCCAGTATGCCTTGTGGCTTATGCAGAAGTGAACACTCATCAGACTTCTAGGTCTCTGACCTAGCAAATAATCTTTGAAAGTAAATATTCAAAGTTGCTGGTCAGTACTGAAGAACTTCTTTTATTTGCTGTTCAAGAACCTGCTTGAGTGGTGCTTTGCTTTTCAAATAGTACTGTTTTCATATTGCTGTATCCCTCTAAACTTAAGTTCCCGTTTCCAATTGAAACATTCAGAAAACTGTTTCTATGAAGCGAAGGAAAGAGAACATACATATCTGGAAATAAAATTAATATTTTCTTTTCAAATAAGTCTGAATCGCATAATTACCACCAGCCTGTGAACTATTCAGTCCTGCATTGGCTGAGTCTTGTGAACTTGGAAGCATTTACTTCATGATAAAAAGCTATATATGTTCTGAGGTAGACACTCAATTTAAAATGTGGAATTACTGTGAAAGTGTACTGAGTGATCTAATGAGTGGGTTATATTTGTCATCTATGGGGGGTACTTTCAGAACCTGAGGAATAGATCTGCTATTGTTTTTGTTTATTGTGATTAAATACAAATTAGCAATCCATATGTTTATCAAATGTAATACGGGTTACATGTTGAGTTGTTTTTATGTCTTCAGAAGTTGAAGCATTTGGCCCATCCCAGATGTCTGAAAAGATCCTCCTAAGGTTACTAAAGCATCCCAATGTGATTCAGGAGTTGAAGTATGATGAGAAGAACAAGAAAGCCCCAGAATACTACCTCTATCAGCGAAACAAGCCTATTGATTACTTCGTTTTAATTTTACAGGTCAGGCTTATGACTACACCAGTATTTGTCTCTCCTGCAACCTTGATCCTATTAACATGACTATATTGAGTTATATTGTTGAGCATTTGCAATGCCTGCATTTTGTAGTTTAGAAATTGCATGAATGGCTTTCAGCAGTTAAATAGAAATGGGAGGTGGGCATCCATATTGAGACCCTAGGAGAAGGGTAGGGTTTATTATTTGTATTTGAAGAAAAATATCTACGAATGGGGACTTTTCTTTCAATGCATATACCAAGATTGAGACAGCAGGGAGTGGGGAATAACGGGTTAAAGCGAACAAATTTGTCAGGGTTCCAATCTGGATAGGGACCATGTACCTCCTTTAATGCAATTCCTGATTATATGGATGACATCTCATCTGGTTTGGCATGCAATCAACTGCGCCTGTTTTCCACCATGGGAATTTCTGATTAAAATTGTGCATGGCATCAATTAAATATTAACACGTTCAAATGTGGAAAAGGCTTTTTGTAACATTGATAGTACTAGCAAAACCTTGGGAGACAACACAAACAGTTTTACTAGAAATGAGCTGGAAGTGTGAAGTTATCAGGGACTGTGATGAAAAAGGATCACAATATTAGCTCATATAGAATAAGGCTATCAGTTAACTAATTGGCTGAACATCAGGAAGGATTAAGTGCATTCCTAATTGGTTTTGGTTACCCTTGATGACATTGTCATGTAGCCAAATTCAATAGACTAAAAGCTCCATGATCTAATGATGTGCATACGTGATCCTTGAATTTTCTGGTATGATCTCAGCCAAAGTCAGAACTCCTAACTAGGCAACAAAAATGGCTTCAAAGATGGGGAACATGTTAGAATAGAACAAGCAGCAAACAAGCTCAAAGGTTTTACAAAGTATGCCTCCTCCTCAAGAATATATTTTCAGGTCAAAAATCAAACCAAGTTAATATTTGAGACAAACCTAATGGGTATGCCATTTAGCCTGGGCAAAAGTTTTTGTGGGTAGTTCACTATGAAGACATTGCCTTAATGACTCAATAGAAATGGGAGAATCAGCAAGGCTTGAGCTTGTGAAGATTTTCTGAATTCCTCCTTGAAACTCATCCTGCCTTATTTTCAAATGTAAATTTTCTAGGCTGATGTTTACCTGGGAAAAGTGCACATCTGGGTACATGCTTTTTAAACACCCCATCCCCCATTGACTAAAGTGTGAACATGCATTTTAATGTATTTTTATAGTACACATTTCTAATGAACACATTTTGTGAACAGTATGTTAGCTTTGCCCAAAAAAGTATGAACTGAGCAAGTTCTGATGCTTAATTTTTGGCACTCCCATATGAATCATTATAGATCATTTCATTTACTGAAAGGACAGCACCACCTACTGATTTGCTGTTGTCTCTGCCAGCTCTGTATGCGTTATCCTTAGACATGTACACACTGGAAGCAAAGTTGAAATGCTATTGTGCCTTCACCATGTAAAATACCATATGCGGGCTGGAGGCAAGAAATTGTCTCCCTTCTGGAATTTGCTGCTTAAAGTGAAAGTTTCAGGCTTCTTCATGGTAAGTTAGTATAGGTTTCCACGTTTTTGCCCCCAGTTCTGCTTACATTGTTTTTTTTTGGGGGGGGGGGACGACAGCCCTACCCAAAGAGTGAGGCAGTTGCCCACTTAGTTGATTCTAAGTGTCACAAAAGACAGTAAACTATTACTTGATTTATCATTGATATATTTTACTCTCTTTATATTATTATATATTATTATGCATCTCTTTATATTATATTATTTCTCTCTCAGGGAAAGAGAGAGGCCCTTCTATGTTTTTTGGACTTGAAAACCAAATAATTTGACCAGTCTGGTATTATGCATCTTGTTGGTGCAGGGTGCAGGAAATTTGCTCTACCTCATATAACAAAATGCCTTGGGCCATACCTATGTATTCTTACAAGGGCAGAAGTACAAATAGTCTGGAAATGTCTTCTTGTAGTGAGTTGTCATGATTGCAAACATTATGTGATTCACACAGAATTTCTTGCTTACACTGTAGACTGTGCAGAATTTCTACCTTTGCAGTGTAATAAAGTATGAATATTGAGGTCTTTTCTATCACAAGATGAAAAACATTTGAGTGTTAAACTCTTCTAGGTTTTGTAAGAAATTGTGTTGTATGTTAAAGTAGCCATTATGTTACAATTAAATTTCACAAAAAGGGTTGCAAGCTGGTGTTACATTTAAGTTATTAATGTTTCTAAGAAGTAGGATTTAAAAAGTTAACAACCAAGACAATTAGTAAAGCTAAAAGATAAAAACCTTGTCAAGTGGGATCAGAACTCCTCCAAACACAAAAATACCTCTTTCCATCCACTCAGTTTGTCTTCTGCTCAAACAACAGTTCCACAACAACCAAATTGATGAGGCTCAGAGACAAATAACTTGGCTAAAAACAAGGCAGTATAAGATCAGCTTATGGTAACTATGAATGAACACCCTCCAAAATGGACTGTCCTCAACAGCTCTGTTCAGCTTTTATAAAATCAAGGATGTGGTTTCTTTAATGGAATCAATCCATTTGGTCTTTCTGTTCTTCTGTGTTCAGCTTTCCCTTTTCTAGTAAGTCTTGACCTCTCATGTTGTGCCCGAAGTATGGCAACTTCGGTTTCATCTTTTTTGCTTCCAGGGAAAATTCTGGCTTCATTTGATACAGGACACACTTGTTTGTCTTCCTACTGGTCAAGGTATGCACAAAACTTCCAGCACCACATTTCAAATGCTTCAGTTTTCTTCCTGTCAGCTTTCTTCAATGTCCAGCTTTTAATGATTGGGTATATAATAGTGTTGATGATCTTGGTCTTGGTTTCCAATGAAAAGTTCTTAGTCTTGATGATCTTTTCATTGCTGACCTTCCAAGCGGCAGTCTTCTAATTTCTTGACTATGTTCCCAATTGAATTGATGACTGAGCCAGGGTATACAAAACCATTTCAATTTCTTCACTGTTGACACTAAAGTTGTATAATTCTTCTGTTTTTTTATTTTTGTTTTCTTACTATTCAGATGCAGTCCTGCTTTTGTATGTTCTTTCACTTTCATCAAGAGTCTTTTCAATTCATTACTCTTTCTGCCAATAATACGGTATCATCTGTGTAACTCAAATTATTAATGTGTCTTCCAGCAAATTTCACTCCTACTTCTTCTTATTCTAATCCAGCTTTCCTTATGATGTGTGCTGAATACAGATTGGATAGGGAGATGCACCCTTGTCAGAAACCTTTGCCTAATAGAACCATTTTGTTTCTCCATATTCTGTCCTAACAGTAGCTTCCCGTCCATGATACTGATTACACATCAGGACAGTCAAGTACTGAGGCAAACCCATTTCTTTCAGAGCCATCCATAGCTTCTCATGATCCACACAGTCAAAGGATTTACTGCAGTCTAGAAAGCAAAAGTAATCATTTTCTGAAATTCTTTGACACACGCCAGTAGCCAATGTATTTTTGCAATATGATCTTAAGTGACTCTTTCTTTTCAGATTCCACTTGGAATGTTAGGCATTTCTCTCCATATATGGTAATATTCTTCGTTGCAGTACCTTGTACATCACTTTGCTTCCATGGAAAATTAGTGTAGTGGTTCTGTGGTTGCTGTACTCTTTTGCATATCCTTTCTTGGGCATTGAAATGTATATTGAATGTTTCCAGTCTGGGGACCGTTGTTTTGCATTCCGTTTTTTGACATATTCTTGTTAGAATTTGGATTCATCCAGTGTCTTCAGCCTGGAATACTTCTGTTGGTATTCCAGGTGCTTTATTCCTTCTAAGTGCTTTCAGAGCAACTTTCACTTCACTTTCTAATAATGCAGGTTCTTCCTCATAGAATACCTCTTTGAAGGAGTCTGTCATCTTTCTACCTCTTCTGAATGCCAGTTCCACCTCCCCTTTATTTTCTCCTGGTCAGATAGTGTGTCCTCTTGAAGTGTGTCTTTCAACATTCACAATCTAGATTCAAATTTCCTTTTGATTGCTTAGATCTTCTGGAAGAGGTCCCTTGTTTTTCCTCTTTGGTTGTTTACTTCTAATTCTTTGCACTGGTCATTGTGATAGTTCATTTTGTCTCTATGTGATAGACACTGAAAATTACATTCAAGATTCTGTCCCTGTTCATGTCACCTTTGACTTTTGCTTCTTGCCTTGCAATTGTGTTTCTTCTGTCATGCTTCAAAACCAACAACTGGGTCAGTTACTAAACTTTTTTCTAAGAATGCCAACATGGAACTATAGATGGCACTGAAGGCCAAGAGGAAATGGACATTGCTAGTGGACACCAAAGGAAATTTCTGAGAGCACAATGAAGCCTATGGACACCAGGTTAAGTGAAGACAATGACAGGGGAAACATTGTTTATAGGGGAGGAAGGCTCCCCTGGGTTCAGAATCTAAATGAAATTAATATTAGTAGTTACCATAAGGTCCTATCAGCAACATATGCTGTATTGAAGAATGATCTAATAACATGAGGATGTGATATATCTAGTGATATTATAGTTTTGATATTGATGGTAATATTAATTCTTTTAAGAATAGCATTCTTGGATAGGAGATCTGGACTGTAAGAGAAACCCTGCACTTGTCCTATATATAGTGCTGGAAAGTTCCATAGGCACCTTAAATCATGTTTGGCATAGAAACAATATGTTCTTGCAAGTATTTGTTTTTTAGCCCTCTTACAGATTATGTTGTGTTCTATAAATTGCTCTGTGTCTTAAGTGTCATATGTCAGACACACTTAACAGTTTTGTAGAACCGGTATATGCTGAATAATCTCGTGTAGGACTATGTTATTGTGAAATGTAGTTATCAAAACTACTATGTATCATAACTATGAACTTGTTCATTTTAATGATACCTGTGTGCAGCCCCAAATATGAGTTAAGTTCTGTGCAGAACCCACTCAAGATACAGTGTAGAATTGGCAGTCATTCCCCTTCTTAGAGGAGATTTTGAATG